AACGCGGATCCACTGGCTTCGCGTTGTTCAGGGCTGAGGAATGTTCGTAGAGAAGCTACTCAGCACAAGACGGTTTGAAGTGGCTTCATATGCGCCTGTTCCACCCTTCTCCCCCTTCCCAGCCGTCTGTCTGTGTCCCACTCAGCCAGTAGAGATGCAGAAATCCTAACACCTTTCATGTCTATTATGGTTTCAGCTGTCGTTAGCCTGCCCACAGACCAGGAATTTGGAGATATAATTGCCAGTGACAGACTTCATTTTATTATCACCCGTCGAGATTCTCCCCGAAACCAGCCATATGGCGTAGATGTCTCTCTTTCATGACATCATGACTTGATATTCAGCCATAGAAACGAGGGTGGCTACTCTTTTCGGATAGGATTTGCCCACCATTGCCACCAAAGTAGCGCTTCTCCCCCTCCCTCCGAGTGTTGCCTCAAGTCGTAATGAGCCATAAAAGAGTTAAGCGGGAAGGCCGTAGGTATGGCTGGATTGCTATATCGGCAAGCAAAGGCAAGCAATTTGGAGCCTAAAGACCTCGCCTGCTTAAATTTACGGGATTGAATATGGTGGGCGGAACTTGAGCTGATCTCCTCTAGATACCCCGTTCAAGTCGCTTTTCATCAAATTTTCTTCTGCTGTATGACCCCTGTTTAAGGCGCAATTCGAGATGGCAGAATGATTAGTCAGGAAATGAATTGTGAAAAGATAAAAGTCCTCCATTCTTGACACCGAAGCAGGATTATGTGAAGCTACTGGTACTTCACTTCTTTACCTCCATCAGGTCCTGTAAGCTTCGTATATGCGGTAGACTGCAAATGGCGGGGTTTGAAAGGAATTTTTCGCCTGCTGGAGTCTAAAAAATTATGCCTTAGATCACAAATGTACGTGGGAAAAATCTTTGCCTTACAGACAGTCGGGACAACTAGTCTACCAATTGGAAGAAAGGCCTGTCCTTTACAAGACAAGACCCCATAACCGTAAAAGATTTGCACTTTAATTGCTGTAGAGAGTCGATACCGCGTCATCCTCCGTTGCTTTCCAATAATAGTTCCCCGACTTCCTCTCCCCTCCTTTCTAAGTTATGACCGTCACCCTCTCTTGACACTAGGCCATCACGTGATCCGTTGGGGGAAAGAACTGACAGTCGAAAGCTAGAAGTGCGGTAGAAAAGGCAGTTTAGAGGCTGAGATTTTTTCTGGACTCTGGAGACACGAGATTTTATAAAAATGTAATTTACGACATTCTAGTTTGCATGATCGATGAATGCCTCGACTAGTAATGCATCCCGACTTTTTTCGAAATCGCGCAAATTTTTTCCCGGCCTTCGTATGAATAACTTCTTCAAATAAACACGTGATTCTGGTTTTAAATTCACCGATTTTATAAACGTTGATAAGTAGGATTTTACTTAAAATTTACACGGGAAAAAGTGCATCAAATTTATTTCGAAAATACAAACCAACTTTATGCTCCTGGAAATAAAATGTCGTGCTATAAATTATGCATATTAGCTATGAAAAATTGACCAGTTTTACCAGTTAAAATTTCCCACGTTTCTGAAGCTAAAATATTTATGGATTAGTTTCTAAAAATGAATAGGACGTATTTCAAAATCCCCTTATGGGTCCAAAATCGTAATGTCGCATTTTTAGAAGCATAATTCCGTTCTTTAGTGCAATCTTGAAACTCCTTCGTACGATTTCAACAAACTTCTTTAAAAGTGCAAAATTTTAAACTACGTTTTGCGATTTAACAGCTGAATTATTTAAAGTTTGTGTGTAGCACTTGGAATATTCTCTGATGTTGAATTAGGCCATAGCACCAGGGGAATAAGATTTGTTGCTACTGTACAGAAAAGTTGACAGGCTCTGATCGCCTTCCGGCCATCCCGCTTAGATGGAAGTAGGAGCTGTGTGGACTGAGGAGACCATTTAGCCAAGTGCGCAGTTAAAAATGACGCAGTTCGTTCACAAGGCACACTCCTTCTATAAGCCAAGTCCTCGCCTCCCCTCGGAGTCGCTCCCCTGTGTTATCCACCAAGGTCTGCTTGAGGCTTTAGGACACATTTTGATTTGCCAAGTCGGAAATGTACTTCAAATGATGCGAAAAAGGCGGATCGTATGGATGGCTGCAAGCATTAGCCGCCAACAGTAAAGTCAA